TTAGGGAGTTTTATGAACCAGATTACAATAGGAGCTCTCTTAACCGTCCGTCAGATCAACCAACTTTATGTTACAACAGGTCGATCATATGTTTCCTGAGCAAATCAAATTCAATCAGTTGCTATCAATACTTTGTGTGGGCAATCTTTACTGTCTAAATAGCGTTTCCGTTTGCTAACTGTGTTATGTAACAGTTTTTGATACTTTAAGTTTTTATTTTATTATCTAATTAATTGTGTTGATTATTTGGTTTAACAGTCCTTTTTCGTTATCATCCGGTCCAGTAGGAGTCAGTTAAGAAATCTTATACTGTACATGAACATTACCTAAAATAATAATAAACATCTTAAAGTCATGTGGGACTAAATGGAATGACTTACCTATAAGAATCTAATTAAGTTTTCAAGATCTTTAAGACATCAATAATAAAGAAAATTTGGCCTCAATACACTTATTTCATCAGCAATTGTTCCTTGGTAGGTATAACTATAGTATAGGCCTATACGCACATAGCTTTAACCTCCCCTAATTTAAAAATGAAATATAAATCAGCTTAGCCAATAAAAAATCTCTACTTGCAATTTACTCCTCTCCTATTGTTAAGTCCGGCATTAGTAAACTCGTCACCATTTCTGAAAGCGGTAATCCTGTATAGTCACTCTCTTACTTGAAGAAACCAAGGGTGTTATGCGATCTTGTCGTTGTAGTTGGTATTTTAAGTGGAGATGAAAGAGAGTGATATTCAAACGCTTTTTGGGAAAGCTGTACAAACCCATATGCTTTGTGGGCGTGCCTGGAATCAAACCTGTCAAACCCTTACCACTAGGCTTCACAACACACAAAACTGGCTGTAAAAGTAAGCACTTCTGGCATAGAGTTTTATAACTAACTCGATTGACATAAGTTTTTAAAACTGTTTTGTGTGTCTAATCAAGAGAGCAGTTGTTGCTTGTAGCAGTGACAGTATGCCCCTATAATAAATCCAAGAGCTTCTCTACTCCCCTCTAAGATCATTGAATGTAATGTAATTTAACAACTGTAGAACCAACACATGCAGTGACTATAGCATGCATTCACACAGTCTTAAATCTGTCCCAATTTAATAAATGTTAAAACAAATCCATACATCTGTTTTCTAAATTTATTTTATTTGTTTGGATTTTTTTGTGTTTAAACCAGTTTTGCTAAACATTTTACACATCTAAATTCCTTTGTTATTTAGGAACAATAGGGCAAGTTGATGAAATGTCACCCCTCGTTGACCATGTAATCTTTGACTATTGATACAACTGGACACTCCATTCCCATGTTGAAGTTGTCGCCAGTTTTTAAATCTAAATTGTCGTAGTGGATGTGACGGATTGCGTTGGTCTACTAAATTAATAATTTTCTGTTGAATATACAAACTTTTTTACCCAGTTACACTAATGGGATGACTTATTGTGAGTTATAGCAACTGTTATGACCTATCAACTTGGTCAGCAACACAAAATAAGGTATAAATCTGGGCAGTAGCACATTCTGTGACTGGTTCACACAAATATGTTGTTTTTTAGTAAAAAAATTGACAACAGCTGGTCCAATGTATGTCTACTTCAGTATCAAATAGTCAATGGAATGGTCTAATTGAGTCAAGATTGGGAGTAATATTGTTATCTCATAATGCTGACAACGACAACAGTTAGCAGCACGTTATTAAACATTCACTTACAATCTGCAATTTTAGCAGATGTTTGATTATAAAATATTTCTCAATGTTCTCAGCTGACAAGGTATTATCTATAAAGGTTATTAATCACTGCTCTCATATGGTAACAAAAATAGGTCTTGCACAATGTGATCATGTGCTACAGTACACGTGCTTTGTGTAATAAATAGCATTTGAATGTTAGCACAACACAGCTAACACAGCTAGTTTTATAGTTTTCATACTACTATTAGTAGCCTACTTTTTTGGAAAATAATTGTTTAAGCAAACAGGGATTAGATAACTGTTAAAATGTGTTCAAGATGACTAGACAGCTGTTACATATCCTCGGATGTTGTAGATTGTTGAGTTTCATTGTCTTATCCATGAAGTGGACCATGTGTGGCCAAGTCTGTGATAACTTGTTATCTCTGGCCTTGGATGTTTGAGGGGTCAGAGAACGGTATCTGTGTGTAATCGCTTGTATGGAAAAAATCTCTTTTGCCACCCGTAATTGGTGTGAGTGAGCATAAAATCTGAGGAATTTAGATAACCTAACGACATTGATATACTTCATTTCTTTTAAAAAAACTGCCAAGATAACATGGCTTATTGTAGTGAAATTACCTCAAGATATATTTGACTCAGCTAGAGAATAATTTGTGCAGCATCTAATGTCACGAAAAGGGAAAGAGTAGGCCTATATTTTTATATGAAACAGAAAAATAAAAAAGAACAATGTTCTCAAGCTGGTAAACTCTAGAAATATATTTTAATACAGTATTTTTTTTTTTTAAGTTATGGTATTACAAAAAAAGTAGTGTAGGTGCAGCTACAAGTTTTAGTAGTGTACTACAACTACATTAATACACAATATTAAGAGAAAACTAAATTAATTTTGTTAACCTGTTAATATTATAAATAAAAAGTTTACAGTGTGGTGTGGTGTAGTAGCTTACAGTATTGCCATCATTTTAAAGATTATTTTGATGTTAATTATTGTGATAATTTATTGTCCGCTGCCACTTTTTCCCCCAATAACACACCAAATTAAACTGATTAATTATTTTTCAAATATCTTTTTTCATTTTTATGGTATAGCCATAATATTTATGATATTTATATAGCCATAGAAATATTTTTTTACGCACATACTTGTGGATGTGGTCATTTCAAATATCAGCTGGCTTAGCAGCATAGAAATAAATAAACACTACTTTGAATAAGGTTATGGTTTTTGTTGTCTTTTGTTTTGGCAGCTGTTCAACAGCTGTCTGTGTCAACTGATGTGATGTAATCGATCCCAACTGTACTATAGTTCTTACTATAACAACTATGTTCAATAATAATATTTGCTTTATTCTTAACAATTCAACAAAAAAGTTTATTCAAGAAGTTGAAGTTATTGATTATCAACCCAAATGCAAGATGGAATAGAGTCCATCCACAATATTCATCCGTATTACATCGACAATTAATTTTACTCTAAAGCGTCTAACTACTTTGGCTCTACTCAAAATAATTTTCAACAAGTATGGAAATTCATATTGAATGTAGCTTAACTATTCTAGCTTTAAACTTTTCATCACTGAGATTAGATAACCGTAGCTTTTCAAAGTAGACCACTTGTTATTGGTCGAATGAGATTTAGCATGGTGCCAGGAACTACAGTAGTCTCCCTCGTATACAGACTCCTCCGGACTAAGGCTGGTCCAGATAACAGTTTTTCTGGTTAAACTGATGTCCCCTAAAACTAGAACGTCTAATAGTATATAAGCCTATAATGGTTATTACAGATAGTGTCACGGTGCGTGGCGCCTCGCTGGAGCATGCGCACTGAGAGCTTTCCCCCACTACGCCTCAATGTATGGTACAGTCATGTTCAAATACTGAAGTTGTGAACTAGCATCAGCTTTGTCAAATTAATTTGCTTTATGTTTACGTTTTTGTATTTTTCTGTCTCTCTCGCACTGCCTCCCCTACACGCCAAGCACGGTGAAACGGTCTGTACATAAAAATAGTGACTAACAATACATGTGCATGCCACAGGAATCACTTGAATTCTATCCCAAATATTTTACTTAAATTTGGGCGAGCATTGTATTTGATCACTAGTCTAAAATCTTTCAGACAAAAATGTTTCAGTACTACCGGTACCCACTTCCTGCCAATTAAGGCCGATTAAACCGAAATGCTCATTGTCCGGTTAAAGGGATGTTAACTTATGCCGTGTGTAGTTCGGTTAAACCTAAGTCCGGTTAAAAGGTGTCTGTATAAAAGGCAGTCTTCTGTAGAACAACCTTGTGATTTAATTTGATTGATAGGTTCTTTAGTATTATGAAATTAAATATGCACAGTATTTTTGATCAATTGATTCATTATATTCTAATGAACAATGTTACATGTTATTATCTTATTTGGATTGGTTTTACCATAGACAAATAGAATAAATATAGACTGTCAAAGGAAGTTAATAATTACAACTTACGTCAATCAGTCCAGTAATATTTATGGAGGACGCACGTTTCGACCTTTAGGTCATCTTCTGCTCCGCTGTTGCACTAGGTTATTACTTAGTTGCATTGTTGGTGTAGCAACCGCGTCCAATAATTTACATTGAGAAACATAGTCAGACCACGTAAACATAAAAACACGACACTGACGAAGACGAAAACATTAATAAAATAAATAATAAAATAATAAATAAAACTATAACCAAGCCCACGGCTGAACAGGCTCGGGACTGCGGCGGCACTCAAGGGCGGGACTGTGCCGAGCCCGTTCAGCCGTGCGCACGGTGATAGTTTTATTTAAATGTTTTCGTCTTCGTCAGTGTTGTGTTTTTGTGTTTACGTGGTCTGACTATGTTAACTAGGTAATAACCTAGTGCAACAGCGGAGCAGAAGATGACCTAAAGGTCAAAATGTGCGTCCTCCATAAATATTACTGGATTGATTGACGTAAGTTGTAATTATGAATTTAAACATCAATCTGTTTGCTACAAATCAATCATGATGTCAAAGGAAGGTTCCGGCGCCCACCTCTAGGCTTTGCCGTGTAGTTATGGCGCACACCGCTGCAGCTGGGGAGCCATATTCGACCATCAGACGCTGCAGCGATGTGTGCTGTAACTACACGGCATACCTAGCAGTGGACGCCTTCTGCTAACCGCAGCACAGCTGACGGTCTATATTTATTCTGTTTGTCTATGGTTTTACCTAAAGCTAACAACAGAACACAGTAACTTAAACTCTCCTAATTCCTGACTAATTTGAGATTTGAACTCAAATATAATATTGTATGTTTGTTGCAGTGGTCTGGTGGCGGAGAGAGTGAGTCTCAGATATTTCTTATCTCTAGGGATGCTGCTATCAGGTCTTGCAGGATACTTGCTGGGTATTGCCAAGTATTACAACATTCATTCCATATCCTACTTCATGCTGGTTCAGGTAAATTTACATTATTTGTCATTACAGTAGAATGTCGATTATTCAACGTAAAGCAGACGCCGCTAGGTCAGATACATGGAAAGTAATAAAATAACCATTGTAAACACGTTGAAACAAAGTTGATTTAATAAAGTGGGAAATTTATGCTATCCAAATCATTAATATCAGTTGGTTAATGTGGGAAAAATGAAGTAAAAAACTACTGTATTATATAATTATAGATTCGGTTTGTTATGTGATGAACATGTAACAGCTCAAAATGCATTATGCAACTCTGTACTCTTATAGTTAGCTATGATCTTGTTTATATTTTCAGGTGTTTGGTGGAGTAGCTCAAACCACAGGATGGCCAGGAGTTGTTGCTGTCATGGGAAACTGGTTCGGAAAAGGAAAAAGAGGTATTTTACCAACCTTATATAAATGTGTGGTTCGTTGCCCAGCTCCTTTAATAAATCACTTCCTACAACAGTTTAACTTTTCAACACTCTCCTAACATCTGAATTGTTTTAGACAGTAACAAAATAATTAGTTCAAGGTACATCGCAAGAGTGTTCCAATATTTTTAATGCATATCGTTTCCCTGTGTGAAATTACATTTTTCTGTGCGCTTGATTATTCTGTACTGAACCACAATTTGAAGGTGAGTGTCGAGTAGAATGATGTCTTTGTAACTTTCTTACTGACTTAGATCAGCTGTTTCTTTAGTCAGGGTAATTTAAAAGCCCAATGGTCTAGGACATCTGGATTTAGTTTTGAACTACATATCAAAGTATTACTGACTTTCTCATGATAGATTTGGTGATCTTTTGATCGTTAGGCAAGCACTATAACCACACAGCTACCCTGTACTGTCTGTAAACTGATCATGTTCATATTATTGTTTATCAGCGGGGTTATTTGTTTGTTTTTGTTTGTGTGTTTTGATTGACTTGAACGGGAATAAAATAAAACTAACACATTAGAACATAATTTTATTCCCGTTCAAGTCAATCAAAACACACAAACAAAAACAAACAAATAACCCAGCTGATAAACAATAATATCAACATGATCAGTTTACAGACAGTACACTCTTCCCCCATAAAATTAATTGTGAAATACTTTGAATTTCTTTAGTTTGTCTAGCGTTCTCTGTGGATGGATGTCTCCAGCTCTTCTACACGAGATTGAGCTTCACTCAGCGTTCTTTGCAATCTTCTATTTTCTAATATTAACTCATCTTCTATTATGTCTAAAGTTTCCGCAATACACTTATACCGAACTACTTGAGTCTCCAATCTTGCAACGTTGATTTTAAAAGTATTGACATCTTGTTCAGCCTTCTGGAGTTTGAAATTATAATCATTACCTTTCAACCGAATGTCTAGAGATCCAGATGCATGTTGCAGGACTTCCGCTACTTCTGATGCAACTAGAGCTCTCCTCGTAGGTTTTGCCCTCGGTGTTTCGACATCTCCCTCGTCATGATCCTCTTCACTATCTACCACCACTATACCCGCCTCTTGGATCAATTGCAGCAACTTCTCCAAATGAGTTCTTGATACTTCCAAATCTTGCTGCAGTTTGCTCTTACACCGTTTTGTCTGTTCAAACTGTTGGTAGGGTTCCTTTTGTTCTATCAACAACTGAAAATGTTGTTGCTCCAACTCATACTTGTGTTTGAACAGATCCACCATTGCAGCCTTCTCTTTGGACATCTGCACCATGGTCGCCATAGCCTTGCGGAACTTCTCCTCACATACCCTTAGCTCCATTCTGACATCTTGTAGGCGTTTGACTTCCTCTAGAGAGTCTTTAGAACTGTGATGGGACAAGTGGTGGCTGTTTTTGGAGGATAGCATAGATCTAGAAGTGATGACCGAGTTGTTTCTAGGAAGTCCAGTTCCTACCCCGTCAGGAGTTTGTCTTTCTAGCTTCCTCGTTACGATTTCTCCGTCCTTAGACCACGCCTTTTTCTTGATGGTCAATCGAGCCTCTGCCTCTTTTGCACTCTGGTCGAGCACAGAGTGTTTGGAGCCTTTCCTCTTGTGGTGCTAGCCTCCTGTCAATGACTTGCATTCCACCACCGCGGATCCATATTGTTTATTTGAGTGATCATTCTCCTTCTTAAGCTTGATTTTATTCCCGTTCAAGTCGACCAAAACACACAAACAGAAACAAACAAATAACCCAGCTGATAAACAGATATTATTGTTTACTAAACAATAATATCAACATGATCAGTTTACAGACAGTACATACCCATATATCGTTTGATCATATCAAGTGTAGCTTATTCTTAAGTTGGTTTTACTATGCCTTAAATGATAAAGCTTTAGTTTTTTTTTTTTTTGATTAGTTTTCATTATAACTATTAGATAGGAATCATAAATAAGGATGATATCAAAGGATTTATTTTTTGTGTGTGTTTTTACTTCAGTGGCATTTTTTACGTTTTGAAAGGGAACGGTCCAAACCCTGGTCTTGTTATTGGTATTAGCTATGTATCTAATGTTTGACTTTAATATCACAATTTGATTCAGTAGCTATTTCATTAAATCAGTGCTGTTCTCTGTTCAAACCTAATGTGTAGATAAATTGTTTATTTATTTTTTTAAATATAGGTACCTAATCTATCAAGGATATTAAAATCATTCATTTTGTGATGTAGAGTGCAAAAATACTTACTGCTGCTTACTTACTGCCGTGGCTCTTGGTACCCAAGGAGGTACTTTGCCTCGCCAACACACTGCCTCCAGACTGCACGATCCATTGCTTCATCCTCTCTTCTTCCCATTCTTCTCAGATCTCTTCTCACTTGATCTCTCCACCTCAACTTGGGCCTTCCAGGAGGTCTTCTACCCTCGGGATTGTTGTTTAGGGCGTTTCTCACTAAGGATCCCTCTTCCTTTCTTAACACATGGCCTGCCCATCTCAATCTCCTACTTCTCACCTCAGCCACAATATCTGGGTCCCTGTACAACTCTCTCAACTCCCTGTTGTGCTTAACTCTCCATTCTCCGTTTTCAAAGGTTGGTCCAAAGATTTTCCTTAGAATCTTGTTTTCGAACACTATAAGTCGTTTCTCAGTTCTCTTGCTTATCACCCAATTCTCTGAGCCATATAGTAATACTAGTCTTATTATAGTTTTGTATATACGGATTTTAGTTTTCTGTGAGAGTAGGCGAGAACTCAACAATTTGTGGCATGCCGATAAACTTTTATGAGCTGCATTTAATCTTTGCTGAATTTCAGAGTCTTCCTCATTATTATCTGTCAGCATTACTCCTAGGTAAGAGAAATTGTTTACTTTATAAAATTTGTGTCCTTCTATTTCTACATGATTCTTATTATTTAATTGGATAGCTCTTCCACATTCCATTATCTTGGTTTTGTCTACATTGATATTTAAGCCAACTTTTTTAGTGTGGTTTATGAGTTTTGAGACCATAACTTTTAGTTCTTCTTCGTTTTTGGCCACAAGTGCCACATCATCTGCAAATGCCAGGATATTAATGTTGGTTCCCATAGTAATTCCAGCTTCTAGCTTTTGTAATTCTTGTAGAGAGTCTTCCAGAGCTAGGTTGAATAACAATGGGGACAAACCATCTCCTTGTCTCACACCAGTATTTATATCAAAATCCTCTGAGAATTCTCCATTGACTTTAACCTTGCATTTAGATCCTGAAACAGTTGACTTTGATAGACTTATTAACTTTTTAGGTATTCCATACTTTTCCATTACTTTCCAGAGTTTTCCCCTAGTGATCGAGTCGTATGCTTTGGAGAAGTCAATGAAAAGGCAGAGAAAGGATTTGTTGAATTCATAATATTTTGCAATTGCCTCTTTCAATATAAAAATTTGATCCGTGGTTGATCTTCCTCTTGTGAAGCCGGCTTGATGGTCTCCTATGATATTTGATGTATACTTCTCTAGTCTTTTTTGTAAAATCTTTGATAATACTTTATAGGTGCAGTTAAGGAGGGAAATTCCTCTGTAATTGGTGCATTCTTTTTTGTCTCCTTTCTTGTGAATGGGAATGATAACTGCTTCCTTCCATTCATTCGGAATCAATTCGTTGTCCCAAATATCAATGATCAGTTTGTGGATCTCCCTTGCCAGTTCTGTGCCTCCTGCTTTGATTACTTCCGATGGGATAGAGTCCTCCCCTGGGGCTTTATTATTTTTTAATTCCTTGATGGACGTTTTTACTTCTTGAATTGTTGGGTATGGTACAATTGGATCTACATTCTGGTACACTTCCTCCTCTTCTTCTTCTTGTTCAGACTGTCTTACATTCAAAAGATCTTTAAAATGTTCCTGCCATACTTGTAGTCCTTCTTTGTTCTGCACCACCAGTTGTCCTGATTTGTTTTTAATCCCATATGGCATTGGACTGTATCCCTTCCTAAAAAATCTTATTGATCGGTAGAAGTCTCTACTGTTGTTTGCTGTCCTGTCTTGTTCAGCTTTCTCTAAGATTTGGTTTACCCATTCTCTTTTTTTCCTCCGAAGTACCTTTACTGTCTCTCTTGAGATTTTTGTGTAGTTTTCTCTATCTCTTTCTTGTTTCTTATTGAGCCAGACTTCTTTTGCTTTTTTCCTTTGTAAGACATTAGCTTTACATTCTTCGTCGAACCATGGTTTTTTGTTTTTCCTTTCCCTTTTCCCACAAACTTCTTTTGCACAGTCTTGCAGGGTCTCTTTGATGTTCTTCCAAACCTTCTCAATTCTATTTACCTCTGAGTCTTCCTGATCAAGGTTATTTAATGCTTGGAAACGGTTAGACAGTTTAAGCTGAAACTCTTTCCTTACTCTTTCTTCTCTTAACTTTTCAAAATTAATATTTGTTGCAGTTTTCTGTTTTGTTAGTTTCTCTATCTTAATTCTCTGTCGTAGATTGACTAGAATAAGGTAGTGGTCTGACCCACATTCTGCGTTCCTTATGCTACGTACATTGCTAATATGACTAGAATGTCTGAGATCTATTAGAACATGATCTATTTGGTTGTTAGTTTTTCCATTTGGTGATGTCCATGTGACTTTGTGTATGTCTTTTCTTGGAAAAGATGTACTCATTACCTTCATGCTTATGGCTACCGAGAGACTCAAAAGTCTCACTCCATTATCATTGCTGTTTGAATGAAGGCTATGTGATCCTGCAACATTTTTCCATATTTGCTCTTTGCCAATTTTTGCGTTAAAATCACCCATCATTATCTTAGTATCATAACTTGGAAGTTTCCTATATTCTTCCTCCACCATTTCATAAAAATCATCCTTAATATCATCTTCCGCATCTTCCGTAGGCGCGTAAACACACATTACAGATATATTCTTAAATTTACCTTTAATCCTAATAATACATAATCTTTCATCTTTGGCTTCAAAATATATCACAGCACTCTCAATCTTCCTGCTTACAGCAAAACCTACTCCTCTTTGGTAACTTCCATCTTCATTGCCACTATAGTAAACAATGTAATCTTTGGTATTTAGCTTTCCTGCCAATGGCCATCTTGTTTCTTGCAGGGCCACTAGATCCATCTCATATTTATTTAATTCTTCTGATAGAATGTCTATGGCTCCAGGCGCTGCTAGTGTTCTGACATTCCACGTACCAAGTCTCAAAGTCCTAAAGGGTAGCCGAAGTTCATTCCGTGTAATCCGTCCTGTGTCCGAGGCATGGTGTTGGTTTTTCGTAACTTGGTGGTTTTCCGAGGTGAGTTGTTGGCCCGACGCTCAACCCCCACATGCCCTTGGAGGACCGGGTTCGGGTTCTCTGATTTCGCCTACCTTATCAGTGCTAAGCCCACCGAAAAGGCGTTTCCCCCCCTGCACTACGGGGAAGTAACAGAGTCACCCTTGCCAATACCGTTGCTTCATCACCACTGGGGCTAGCAGTCTAGGTGCATCCGCGGTGGTATTAGCCTTTAGCAGCTCTTTATTAAAGAGTGCAAAAATAGATCAAAATACATTAGCCTGTATCATTTTACTGCTAAAAGTTATTCTTAGGACTGATAATGTATAAGAATATCGAGAACATCAAGGAATAACTTTCTCACTAGAAAACTGATTAAGTAAAATGGTTATTGATTTTTTATTAATCCTTTTAATAATCTTCTTGAATGTTGAAATTCTGTGTTTATAAACAATGTCATAAAATGGACTTATGATATAATATTGGTTTTTGCTGCAAGATAGTTGTTCAGTAATGGATTAGAAGAGCGTCTAGGGAGCTATACAGTTTTGTCAAGTGTTTTCTAAAGAGATAAAGCTTTGTTTTATCAGTATCCTGTTATCGCCACCAAACTCTATAGAACCATCATTAAAATGGTTCAGTTTATGTACTATTGACTGTCCCATTATCATAGTTGGGTATAGATTCTAATCTTTCTTGGTTGTGTTTGATCTTTATTAAAGTTCTCTATAACTATAAAGTTCACAAGCATTACACATTGGATAAAATACATAGGACTAATGACTACCTTAATGCCATTTTTGTATGGAATAAACACAAATCCTTTTAAGAGAAAAAGGCATCCATACCTCTCAAACTCATGCTAGGTATCAAACATGTATCCCTTAAGATAATTCCTTTCTTAGCATTGTTTGAAAACGTAGTATTTTATTTTGTTTGTTTTTACATTATTTTTATTTATTTTATATTTAAAAGGAGATGGTTTTGTTACTATCTAATATTTGTTCTTATTAGTGACATCCATGAATAACTGAGTAGCTCAGTGGATTTAACGCTTGCCTGTTAATCAGAAGGTTGCCGGTTCAATCCTAGGAAAAGTCAGTAGCTTTTTAATAGTTTGTAACTGCACCCTGCTGTCCTTGGTTCATTAGGTGTTAGATAGATGATCCTGGCTACGTATGGATTTAGACTATATTTTAAGGATTTTTTTGTTTATAGGATAAACTACTACTGACGAAATAAGAAATAGTTGAAAATAACTAACATAAACATTTAAATACATAAAAAATAGAATCATCGGAAATACTAGCTCCTACTTCTGTTGTAGAATCTGTATTCTTGTTGTAGGTTGCAATCAAATAATCTATATGATCTGGTTCTGTTCTAATCTACCGTAAATCCCATCAAAGTCTAAAACACTTGCCAAGAGGCCATCTAAACCCCCCTTTCTAACCACCATGCCAAAACCTTAGTTTCAATGTCCCAATCAGGTGTATCCAATAGTATGTGTTACGGATCATTTTGTGGGGTTGAACATCAATGACAATAGTGAAGGGATGGGGAAGGTCCAAGGCAGTTCAAAAAGCAGGTTTGTTTATAAATGAATTTGTCTCTGCTGCACTATGTCCCAAATGTCATCCAATTTTATGAAAATTACATTCTTCCTTGAAGCCAGATTTTGTTGTCTGGGATTTAGAATCTATTGAGGATAAATCTGAGGTTTTATCAATGGTTGAAAAACTAATGAGGTTATTTCCATGTTGACGTTACGGCTGAGGCAACATTAACCAAGTAGCTTAGCAACCTAGGCGTAGAGCAATATACTGAAATTCTGGTAGGGAATACTGCAGGAAAAGGTACACTTGTCCATTAGGAAGAACAACTGGGAAATCCATGTTTTTCTACCAGATAAACCGGGGGTTTCTAGGAGTTCTGTGGCTACCCTGAGAAAATAAATTAATAATTTGATCAGGTTTTATCCACAACTTTGGTTTCAGGGTTCATCTTCGGTGTGTGGAACTCTCACACGTCCATCGGCAACATCCTGGGTACAGTGATTGCTGGTTACTATGTGGAGGACAACTGGGCTCTCTCCTTCATCGTCCCCGGAGTCATCATGTCGGTCCTGGGCTTTGTCAACTTCTTGTTTCTCGTCCCAAACCCCACTGACGTAGGCTGCGTCTCCCCTGACCAGAACAGGCCTAAGGATAAGGTCGGTCTTATACTCAAGGTGCATGTTTCTAATCACTCAGTTGCACTAACAACTGTGGGCAAAACTTGGTAATCTTAACAACCAAGCTTTAATAATCCAACTCTAATATTTCCAAAATTAATTTGGAAAAAAAAAGATACGTTTTTAGTAAAAAAGTAAATTTTACAAATAAATACATTTGTATAAGTATTATTGTCAACAAACCACGCGCAAAGAATTAAATTTTTCTATATATTACTGCTTCCTATAAAAATGTTAGAAACAAAGACATCCTTTTTAATATAGTAAAACACCCTTTACCTGGACTCAAACCATGATAAAACATTAAAATCTATTAAGAAATTAGCCAGGCACAGGAACTGTCTGTCTTGGCGCAAGTAGTTGGCCCGGCTTTGCCAACAGGTTTTAATAGAACAGACGATGTCACGGATCTCATACCGTTATAGAAATAAAGGTCATAAAACAATTTATGATTATTTAAAAATATATATTTTGGTTATGTTTGTAAATTTAAATTTGACAGGAATTAAAATAACGTGAAAATGACAGTTGTCATTTATGAACCAAAATAGTCTTTAAATTCCAACCATTAATTAATCAAACAGATAGGTTATCTGAAATGACCTCGTCCTCTATATTTGAGTTGGTCAGGGTTTTACAGTTTAACTGTTCCCAGATAAACCAACAATGAGATCTAAGTTATTTTCTAAATTATTACTGTTAGGTACTAGTAAATGCTACAAACAAAGAAATCAATAAAGTAGGTACCTAGCCTACTACATTACCGTCCATATTATTTATGATCATTTGTTTTAGATACTGCAAACGCTATAATTCAATTACCTGTACTCAGTAATACTGTAACTTATTTGTCAAAGCATCAGTTAAAAACATCAAAAATTAAATAGATTTTGTATTAAATTACGAAATATATGAACATAATATTGCTTAACTCTTAATCTATAATGTCTCTACTTTTTGTTTTCAATCAAATCTCCGTTGTATTATAAAATATTTTAAGTTTTGCCCATCTTTTTTTATTTTTGTTGAACTAATAAAAATGTAAATATTTTATAGGCTAAACCAATAATCTTTTCATTACTTTTTACTGTTAAATGGTGATAAACAATGTTAAATTAATTTAAAATATACTATCAACTTGAATAAGATTATTAAGTGTTGTATCTAAATAATATAAAATCAAATTGTTTTACTCATAATGTACAGTTGTGTACAATAAATAAAGTATATTATTTAAAGAGTTTTTAAAGAGATTTCAGGATATGACAGCTAAAAATCATCATTCATGTTTTTAAACCAGTTTAAATAAATCATCAGTTAAGATTCAACTCTGCCATCAATTGAGGTAAACTGTTTATTAGGGTGGCACGTAAAAAATCTAGTTGTAAAATTAAATTTGCCATAGTTCGGGAAAGTTACAATTGATAGGCCTACAAAAAAATGTTTCAAAAAAATGTTTCAAATCGTATTGCATTTTTCAATCACGTAATCTTCCAAAAATGTTTTAAGATTAGGAAAAATCATTATTTATTTTGGTTTTAAAAGTCCTATAGGGCTTTTCTTTTACTTAAAGCTGTGGTAGAAACTTCTACGAATTATTAATCCTCTTGGGAGTATTTCATGCGCAATTTCATGAAACTAAGCAAAAAACACAATTTTTGACAAATCTATTGTGTGAGGCATATTATTTGTTGATTTTGAATTGTGTTCCAATTTTGCAGCTCTTACCTCACATTAAATCCTAACTACCTATAACTGACCACGTGGAGGGTGCTGTCTTTACTTATGCCCCAAAGGTATCCAAACAAGATACAGTTAACATCATAGCCACACTAGAATCTATATCACTTATGCCCAATTAGTGGCTCCTAAACTAACTACAGGAAATAGTTACAACAGAATAGATTTGCAGAGTTAGACTAAACCAAAGAAATTACCAAACATGCAATGTGTAAATAATGTAATAGCTAACTTTAATTTTGCAGCTTAAATTTTTACGCACCACCTCACTGTTAATTAGTTATTACTTAGATTTGTTTTTAACAATAACCTAGGTTCTTAATTTAACTCTCTATTTTCACTGACACATTTTATAGTAAAAAAAAATAGTAAAAATTGTGTGATTCGATTATGTATTTTCACCAATAATTTTTACTGTATTGTACAAATATAATCTTTAAATTTTTTTAACACTTCTTTTGTGATTATGAAAATACAGGTGATGTTGTTAAACATTTTTTTTAAATATGTATCGTATACTGTTTAAATAAACAAAATTGATCAGAATTAGGGTGTTTTATAGATTTATGATAATTTTGTATGGAAAATATTCATCTTGTATTAAAAGCTGTGTTTTCTGCATGATTCTGCATCCTAGTTATGTGTGTTAACTTACATGTTTACTAACATGATATTGTTGTGTATAGTGTATGAGTGTATAGTGTAAGGGATGACTGAACTAACACTTCTAACCATGTAACCGTATGCAGAGTAACCTGATACAGTTGGATCGTATGGATGAAACAACTTCCAAGGTGCGAGGAGCGAAGCATGTGAGAAAGCGAAGCTCGATCAAGTTCAAGACCAAACAGAAATCGGGCAGGTCTCAGATACGCCAGATATTGAAATCAGTAAAAAATGTTGTAGAAGTACACAAGAATGTAAGTTAACCTATATGTGGTGCTGAGCTGTCATCAAGCTTTGAGCTGAATCATCATCATCATTATCATCAGCGACGTTTGTGCGACAATGTAGCTACTGTCTTCTAGCCGTCCTGCTTACTGTAACGTAAAAACTGCAAAAAAAAACATTAAACACCCTAACTACTTATGTAAACTCAGTAAAATTGTATTCAAACTATTTAGCTAATATTTTGTATTAACCTAATTTTTTAAACCAGTATGAAACTGGGCAATTTTTTCATTCTGGATATAATAATGTTGGATGTAGTAAGTTGCATGATTGTTTGTTTCTTATCTGCTTGATAAATTCTAAATAATAATAAGAATAAATTATTAAATACTAACGATAAAAACATCGACTGTGCAAAATATTCTGTTGAACATCATACTTTTTAGCTGTCATATCCCTAAACTCTTTAAAACCTTAAAATTTGTAAACTACATTTGTACATATTTTAAATAAGAGCATTGACTATAATAGGTAATGTTTTGTATGGCTACTATTTAAAAATAATGACAACTAATTATTTGTTAATGATGTATATTTAATTATGTATATTGCATTTAAGTACAATTTCCAACTGTGCAAGTAATCATCAATATGTTAGGCATGGCAAAAAGTGCAATAACAATATTTAAAAGAAATTGTTAAGTTCTAAATCTGCAAACTAAATTTTAACTCTGGTCAATTTTACTTAATTTTTTCTAATCTGAAATAATTTAGCAGTCTTAAATCTTAATGTAACATGAAATTAGATGGTTGTAATGTTATTTAAACAGTTTGATAATAACACTCTGTACCAGGGTATAATTTGCATTATCTCTGTTGTGATGTTTACTAACTGTGTTGCTTGTGTGATGTCTGGGGGTAGGACGTCAACAGTAGATACCAGAGGGTGCCGAGCCATGATGAAGGAGAGGAGGGGGAGGTGGGGGAGGGAGCTACCACCCCTCCACTGTCTCTACCTCCCGAGCTGCCTGTCGATGACTCCAGCGACGACGTAAGTCTCTCATGGCACCCCTGGACTAACACTGGTTCAATCTTATCATGCCACCCGATTTGACTGTGAGTGGGAAATCTTTTCAGCCATTGAAGGGGTCGTTCTTCAGTACTGTTTGAGGGCTATTCAAAAAGTAAGGAACGTTTCCGTCTGACCCCGCTAGACCAGTGCCAAGTGTATACTGTATGTACAGACGTGTTCGCCTTCTTAATGATTGTACAGTTGTCGCAGTGGAAGTGTCGTTGTGCCACACATTGTTGCAACATTCAAGTTGAAAAAGTGTACTTAAATTGAAAATCCCACTAGATGTGATGCACAGTCTGAAATACAGATTTTATTGGCCAAAAACCTATAGAAAATTATTGTAAAGGGTCTGGTGTACAGAAACAACGTAGTGAATGTAATTCTCTCTGGAAATAATACATTCAGTTTGAAAATGGTCAAACTAACATTCGTGAAAAAGTGAAAAGTAGATGCCCAATTAATGTCACCAATAAATTTATTGCTAAAGTTGATGAGAAGATTTGTGGAAAACCCCATTTTAAAATAACAGAGCGGAGACCGAACATTACAACTAGCGGGATTTTCAATTGCAGTGCAGATTCTCAACTTGAATATTGCGACATTGGGCAGTGCAATACTTCCTTTGTGACATCTGGAAAGCCATTGAGGAGGCAAAAACATGTGTACTTAAAGCGCAGATGGAAACATCCTGTTCTTTAATAGGTCTCGTAATAAAAACCACATTTCTTTATACTACTCCTCTCCTCACACAGTTTTCCTAGCCTCATTGTGTGCATTTCTGATTATCAAACTGTGACATTCCCGCAACACTTAATATAATCCACAATATATCAAACAAATTACAGTAGAACACCTAATATCCGGCCTTGGAATTTCCCGTCGTCGGTTTATCCAGTAACTTCCCGAAATAGATACCTAAAATATTTCCCATGGCTGTACACGTAGTCTCCATGATTTGAGCGTTCTCACGGTTTATCTGTTTCCTGTTTATATACATTTTTAGCGGGTTCACTACTACAAATCATGGTTTTAAAATTAGGTTGGTTTATCCAGCCAGGGCTTGGTCTCATTTAGGCCGGATATGAGGGGTTTACTGTAGCTTGCAAAAAATGTAACAAGTACAGTAGTTGCTTCAACCAGCTTCCATACAATACTGCTTTCATTTAACATTCATCAACATTCAACATATCATACTAATGTTGACAAAACGGGTTGTCTCATAGTTATGGTGGCTACTGTAGTCTACCAGTTGGAATGTTAAGAGGTCTTCCAACTCTCTTGCTGTAAGCCAAGTCATTGATATTACTACTTATTCCTGATAAAATAATGCCGGCCTTTATTTGCATGTTTGTTCCTAATAACAAACTAATTTTCTGTTAATTTTTTTAACATAGTTAAAAGTTAATACAGCTATGAGTTTTAATGCCGAGCATAGCTAAATATTTTATCATCATTAAACAATTATTGTGGATGATACTGTAATTTGATTATTATTTTTCTTCGAATTTAAATAACTGGCTTCCAATTTTAAATAACTGGACTTTGATACAAAATATTTATAAGAATATGCATTTCAATCGTTTTCTGAGGCTGTAAAAGATGTTTGAATTTTGACATTTTTATTTAATCTCTTAACTTTTCCTTTTGTTGTGTTAATCACGTTGGTCTTGCTTTATGTAACTGCTGTATAGCGTTGCCAACAACTAATTATTGGCAATATATTTTTGACTAACAGATAAACCGAACATTTTTTCTTAGTTTAATTTTGGTTCATCCACATGAACATTCCTTACACAATCATAACTCACCAGAAAACATGCAAGTGGTGGAATTTGGGCTAATACTGGGAATCCCATGTAATTTAATCAATTCTTTCAATATTCTTTAGTTCCTTTGCCACCTATTCCCGCCATTGTCGTGTAGCCATCCTCGCAAGTTCACTAATCACCTTGCTGAAAGAAAAGCAGTGATATATGTCAATTCTAAATTTGCTAGATACATAAGTCTTCAAATCTTTGTGATTATTCTATTTTTCCCTATCCCTGTTTGTCCGAATTATCTACGTTCCACTGTTGTTGATCTTTCTTGTATCTCTTAATCACACTATTTTAATACGTTTTCACAACTTAAATTTAAAGTGAAGGCGTAAAAAAGACTCATCTGAGTCGGTGGGAAAAACAATCTATAGTTCAAAGTATTGTTGTGATGCAATATTGTGGACAAGGTTGTTTTGGTGAACAACGCATAACAACAATACTGTCGAGGCCCCGGTGAATCTTTTATAGAGAACGATTCAAAATATTACTTGGTAGATCACCCGGGAACTGTATTTTGGATAACATTAGTTACAATGATTTAATTTACGTATTTGTAAATCAAAATGTTATCCAGTGACCAGAAATGAATTATATTGATAAAACTTGTTACTGTTTGATGTTTCATTTCATTTAGCGCTTGGCCTTGTATAATGTTCAAAACTTGTGTCTTTTGTTATGTTCTATATTCTATGAAGAGGGGTTGACTGTGAATAATGTCCCAGTGTTTTACTGATATTGTCAATGTAGTTTACATGTTAATTTTATACAGCATTAATCTGGTAGCTCAATCTCAAAACTGGCAAACTTAGTAAACTTGGCTGAGAGATTTTCAGTAATACTTACCAGAATTTGTGGGTATTGGCTCGATTTTGTTTAGTAAATTTCATACACAAATCCGAGATAAATGTGAAAGGTTTTGATCTATGGTTGGGTAGTGTTAGACTATCTGTTTGTTTACAGACTATTTCTATGTAGCTGTTAACTACTTATTGAATTGAAGTAACTGACCTTGTAAAACAAGATGTAAAAAAATCAAATTCCTCTTTCAGTAGAAAAGCCTGGGTAGATATCAGAATATCTTGTATGCATTTTATGCTCAACAATGGGGTGCTGATTTCATCAAAAAAGTAGTTGATTGTATAGTGTTGGCTTTTGGCTCTTAAATTGATACTGCACAATCGATTTGAAAACTCCTAAGGTATATCATTATGTATGTATTGTTAAGACTTACTTTTTAAATACATTGGTATTAAGAACCCTTTTTTATTTTCCAGGGAGACATCTCAAAAATAAATTCAGAAGGAAGACCAATCTTGTATCCAGACCATGAGGCAAAACCTGTTGGATTTTTTGGAGCTTTGAGAATACCTGTAAGTTTCATTTCGGGTTCTTCAAAAGAAATAAGTTATTGTAATATGGTATGTCTGAAAATACTGTAGTCTTTTGTCATCAAGCTATTTCAATATGGTATGAAAAATTAGCAGGGATTCAGAGTCAAATAAATATATATAAATAAAAAATACTGCAATTTTTAATAACCTTTAGAAGGTGACCGCTCTTATTCAATAAATGGGCAAAAATCAATCAACCATTTAAAATCCAAATGACGTGTTATAAATTATTGGCTCTATTCAGATTTCATCAAAACAAAGTTTGTTGTGTGGAATTTTGCAATATGTTCCAAAGTAATAAAAACTAAGCTGGGTTTTCCTTGGACAAGCGGAGTCCGCTCTCCTCTTGTCTTAGGTAATAATTTAATGCTACTGTTTTCCTGTAAGTGGAGTGGTCAGCCACTGGATGAGTGGAAATCGCTTCTCCGCACTCCACTCTGCGTTTCTGCGCTCAGGAAAAACCTGATGAGGAGAAACAAATTAAATCCTTACAGCAGTACACACTGTGTACATCTCATTCACCTATAACCAAATAATAAACTAAAACTTAGCTTTCATCATAATAATATCTCATCTGAGCGGTTTTGTTACAGGGTGTAGTAGAGTTCTCACTTTGCCTGTTCTTCGCCAAACTGGTCAGTTACACATTCCTCTACTGGCTTCCAGGCTACATCAAAACCTCTAGTGAGTTTATTATTATTTTTCTTACAGTTACCTGACAAAGTGGGCTTCCTTGCCCTGATTTATAGCACGTGAAGCAGCTAATTGCTGCTGCTGCACTTACTTACTTTTGTCGAACTCCTTTTCTTTTACCGCACTAATTTTTTGTTGCCGCACTCCTGTATTTCAACTAAACGACACAAAACAGTGTCCTTTTATTAAGCACGTAATATGTGTACGCTTGAAAATAAGTTGGCAACACTTAAAGATAAGAACACTACGATCAGCTGGTGCAGCGTTTCCAATTTCGTTCAACGCTTGGATTTAGTTCAACGTGTTTGAAAGACTGATTATTTAATGATATATAGTAACTATAAGAAAAATATATGTAACGCGAGTGCCTTTACTGCACTCAAGAAACTTTCCACACTCGCCTGCAGCTCCACGTAAACATTTCTCTCGTGTGCAGCTAAGAGCCACTTTGCACATTAGTTACACAAATAACTATTTATTTTATCACCAAATTTTGGTTTCCAGGAGAACCAGTCACCTATGTAGTTGTGGGGGGAAATGTCTATGATTTGGAATCTACTTTATAAACACCCAAAATGGATAAAAAACTAGCATTGTCCAATCAAAACAATCGGAAATTGGAGTGTCCAATCAAAATTGATCACCACTAACCATCTTTTATATCTGCCGTCTTGTTAAAACAGTATAGGTTTAAATATATGTATCAAGTGTTTTCCAACGTATTTTTATACTTCCCGTAAAGTTAATAACATGTACTATGCTGATTAAGAAGTTATTTTAAACAAGAAAAAGATTATTATTGCAAACAATTGAACACTCCTGACAAAAACTTATTAAAGATAACCTTACTGGAACGCTTGAATTTAAAACATTTAGCTTCCTTCAGGTTTTAAGAGGGTCCAAGTATTTTCAGCCAAGAGTGTCTAGTTGTAGTCTTTAGATTAGAAGAGGTTAATTTTGTTGAAGGAAAGGCTCAAGGCCAGGATAGGATTGCTATTTTTAGTAAAAAGGGGATAGCAGCTAGCTTACCTTAGGAAAATAGTCCAGGTAGACAACAGTACACATAGAAGACACACACAATGTTTTCCCTTGTAGGACTTTCTCAAGTATAGACAAAGAAAGTTGTTCAAAAGTAGTGCATATTTTGTACTTATTTTTAAGACTCTCTTTGTCTACATTTGACAAAGTCCCCCAGGGGACAAAATATTGTGTGTTCTGTGTCTTATCCTATGTGTACTGAGGCATACAAATAAATTTTCTAAGGTAAGCTAACTGTATCCTCTTTTTTCTCTTTAATATAATAGAGCAAATGTATATTTTAGTTTCTTGTGTTTCAGCCACTCTAAATCCTACGGAGAGTGCTGACTTGTCGGTTGTGTTTGACATCGGAGGTATTGTCGGTGGCATCGCAGCTGGCATCATCAGTGACTACAGTGGCAAAAGCGCTTCCACCTGTGCCGTCATGCTCGTCATAGCAGTGCCAATCGTTAGTATTAGTCTTAAAATAATTTAGTAACACTTAAATGGTTTATCTTAAACATATCCCTCTTGGGACTGGTCGACTAATTTGAGTTGATAAAAAAACGTGATGTAATCGGGCGGCAACATTCCGTCAGCTGTCTGCTGTTTGTTATGCTTACAAGCCGACTGTGTTGTCGTATTATTTCTGCTATTTTGAGGTTTGGTTTTGTGTTTGTAGTGAAATAATGATTTAAAAAATGATAGCGGTGTCATTCCTCAACGTTTTGAAGACAGTGATAGTGACAGTGACCCAGACAATCAACTTGTTGAAAATGTCGACCTTGATCCCGAGCTCGAAGGTAACGACTTGGATGTTAGTATCGAATCTCTCAGAGATTATTATTCTGGTAGTGGAGACAATTACTCCTCCACATGATAGTGAAATGGAGGCTTCTGATCGGGAAGATAATAATCCAGAACCTGAACCTAGGCTAGGCCTAGGCCCCCAACTCGAAACCCTAGCCTGGACAACTGGACGAAAGTTCGCCCACCAGAACCTCCCAAAGATGTTACTCCTCAGGTTAGGGTAAGAGAAACTGGACTAAAAATGCACCCCCAAGAAATAGCAGTCCCATTTCTTATTTATATATTTTTCTCACTGCTGGTTTCTGGCATAGAATAAAAAGGAAAACTAATGCATATGCAGAAAGAGTTTTTAGAGAGTGCAAGAAAATGAACAAAAATTTTCCCAACTATGAAAATGGAAAAATGTTTCAGTAAATTAAATGAAGTAGTTTGGTGTATTCATGAGCATGGTTCTAACTGCCAGAAAAAACATAAACGTTTTGGGACAGTAGGCCATCACAACAAATATGTTTTTATTCTAAGACCATGCCTCGAGATTGATTCTTATCAATCAGTACCTTTATTCACATGACATTTGCACCAACACTTCCAAAAGTGGATCCCAACTATGACCCTTGGGTTAAGGTAAGGTGGATGTTGGATAATTAACAAATGTTCAAAGCAATATTTTGTTGCAAGTCAGGATGCGCCGCCCAAAAAACCAGCAAGCGGCAAAGAGAGGAAGAAGATGGAAGAAGACTCAAATAGCTCTAACCCAGACGATCCAGATTGAATTGATGAACTTAAAATTTCTAGGGTTTGTCCTGTTTATAAGAAGGGGCTTAAAGATAAGCCAGAAAGCTATCGTCCTGTGTCTCTTGTGCCTGTGCTGTCAAAAATTATAGAAATAATAGTTTACAATCAGGTCATCTTGTTTTTAGAGGAAAATGAAATTTTGTACAGTTCTCAGTTTGGCTTTAGAAGGGGCAGGGCTACCCAGGATGCCATGGACGATCTCATTTCCCAAATCTTGCAGGCTTTTGAGGCGAGGTCCTATGCTCAAGTTACCTTCTGTGACTTGAGTAAAGCCGTCGATTGTGTTGATCACTCAGACCTTCTTTTGAAATTGCACTTCTATGGCATCCAGGGGGTTGCCTTGCAACTTTTCGAATCTTATCTAAAGGATAGGAGACAAGTTGTGTATATTGATGGTGTTCAGTCTCAAGAGGTTTATTTGAAATATGGTGTTCCCCAAGGATCAGTTTTGGGCCCTCTGTTATTTTTAATTAGTATTAATGATTTACCTCATAATATGCAATGTAGAACCCTTCTTTACGCTGATGACACGACATTTGTTAACACTTCCAGTAACTTGCTGTATTTAAGTAACTTGCTGTATTTAAGTAATTTGGTAAATAACTCTATAGAAGAAGCTTCATCTTGGTTTAGAGCTAATGGCTATCTCTTAAATAAAAATAAAACTGAAAATATAGTATTCTCTTTTAGGCCTTATGACCATGAATCTTTAGCTATAGAAACAGCTGTCAGTACCAAGTTTTTAGGTGTATGTGTTGACCAACAGCTTACTTGGAATACTCATATTGATTGTGTTACTACTAGACTTTCTAGAGTTGTTTTCTTGTTGGGGCGTTTGAAATACTGTGTAACTCCAGAATATATCCGGATGGCTTATTTTGCTTTTTTTCAATCAATAATTAAGTACTGCTTGCTTGTCTGGGGCAATTGTTCAAGAATTGAAGAAGTGTTAATATTACAAAAAAAAGCTGTTAGAATTATTGATGGTTCAGCTGATCTTGAACATTGTAGGCCTATTTTTATTAAATTAAAGATTTTTACTGTTATTAACCTTTATATTTTAGAACTTGTTATTTATTATTTAATAAAACTACCAGTCATGGTCCTGAATGAAGATGTACATCCCTACAATACTCGTGGTAGACATCAAATAAGTTACCAGCACCTCCGTTTGAGCAAATCTTTAAATAGCCATGTTGTTATGTGTAAGAAAGCTTATAATAAGGTAATTATTAATGTAAATAAGTATCCACAAAAAATATTTTTAAAAAAATTCAGTGACTGGCTCTTAAGAAATCCTTTTTACAGTATTGAAGAGTTCCTAGAACAACCTGTGATAAGTCTGTAACTTTGTATCCAAATCTGTTAATTATTTCTATATAGTCTATTTTTGTTTTCTTCAACTTTGTTAATTGTTCATTTGTTAAATTGTTTATAGTCTCTTGTGAATGTTAACCCTGTAGTTAAAATGAATTTGTACAACATAGACTCATACCCAAGTTACCTCTGAATATTTAGACAATGAACATTGAAATTTTATGTTCTTCTCCACTGACAATGTCAATGCATGTAAATGTCCATGATAATAAATGATTTGATTTGATTGATTATATGTTCACCACGGCTTTGACTAATGAACTGTCCGTAAATGAAGAGCCTAATGAGCCCTACAATCATCATGAAATCAATGATCATGAAATCGGGGACTGGCTTATCCTTAAGTTTTTTTTTTAAGACGTTGCAGTAGTGGAGGATAAAAACCTCTCTACCTGTAAGATGTGCAAGACATGTTAGAAACAATAAATTCTAGTGGGCGAATCTGGAAGTTTTTTGAACGGTCGATTACGACAAGATTGGACAGTGGTTGTACCCCCCTACTTTGGAATGATCGACTTAACAACTTTAGCTTTAAAAAATGTTTGAGCAGAATTCTGACTGTCAATTTGAATTTTTTTCTGTCATTTCTTAGACAGACTATTGGTTTGGGTCACTACTAATTTTGATTTTATAGCCTATGTAAACTCTTTGCCTTATGTATGTACCATATTTCACTAAGTAATCAATTATAAATAAACGTTCTTAAAGGCATAACTGGTTATTTTTTTTATTCCTAACCTTTTTTACTCATAAGTTTTAAACTCTGTCTAATTTTACATGGCCTTATAAACTACTAAGGCGTCTTTAATAACTTAAAAGACATCAGACGGCACAAAACACTGTTGCGGACAGGAGAAGTTAGTTTGAAATTTATTGTGTTATTTCAGTACGCATCAGGGTCAAGACCGATTAATTGGATTGACCCAGACACTTAATTTTTTTTTTATAAATCTTAACTTCTAACAACACAAACGGGTCATGGATAATGTTTTTATTATGGTAATATTTTTATTAATGATATCTAGGTAAGTCATCTTAGCCTTAAAATATCAAAATAGTGTACGGTTCTACCCCGTCCACGGTAGCATTGACTAAGTCAATGACGGTAGTCATTTTTTATAAAGCTAATGAACAAAATACTAACTTGAACTGTATATTTTGTTCCAGCTACAAGTTTACAATCTGTATGGAGCTGACAGTGTTGTGATGAACGTGTTTCTGCTGCTGGTGGCGGGATTGTTGGTCAACGGCCCGTACGCTCTAATCACTACGGCAGTATCAGCAGAGTTAGGCACTCACCATTCCCTCCAGGGAAACTCTAAAGCTTTGGCCACTGTCACAGCCATCATCGATGGCACTGGTTCTATTGGTAAGAAACTCTTTTATTGTCTTTTGCTGTCAAGATGTCAAAAACTCAATGTCTATAATAGTGGTGATATTAGTGATTAATGCTCACTCCTTGTAAGGGAGATTCAAGATCCAAGCAATAAAATTCCCTGTTCAAAGGTACAAAAGATCATGACTGCTGTCAATATGTATATATTTCTTTGTTTAGGCTAATTTATGCGCATTAATTCTTTGGTAATTTCTTTTTGTCTGGTCACATTAATGACCATTTAACGAGATACAGTCATAACTTGTATGTAGGTTGTAGAACCAACATAGTTGGCTAAAAAATCACTATCATTCAGTATGCTTGGTATTTGTAAACTCACCTTTTAGATGTGCTATATCTCAGGGTAGGGTGTCGTGCTGGCTTGAATGCTAAGAATTAATAAATTAAATAGTGTCCAAATAATTAAGGTGTTAAACTTACAAAATCCCACAATGAAAATTAAATTTTGAGGTCGTCCAAAAGGTAAGTCCAATGTGCACTGAATTTAAAAGAGTTTAAAAAAAGTTTATACTTAACTTTGAAAATAACAATGATGGAGTTGAGTCCTCTTGAGGTTTACTGTAATATAACTTGATATAAACTGGTTTTCTAGATAATATTAATTAATTTAATTTAGATAAAATCTGGACTCCTTCTTTTAACTAACAGTTTTAACTTCCACTATGGAGTTCTTCTCTTCCCAATCTCAATGTTCACATAATTCATTGTTGAATACATGGATCACTGTTTCACTGCTTCTTGAATTTTGATGCCTTAAGGACTAATTTTGAAATTACATTATAAGAAATTTTGATGTATTGCAATTCTCTTACATATTTAAAAAAATATTACAAATTATGATGTTCAACACCTCTTAAAACCAAAATTTAAATTAAAAAATTCCCAGTTTATTCGCGACTGGCTCATTGAAAATTTATTCAACAGTATCAATGAATTTTTAGAAATGTCCTTGGAAGACAGGATGACTAGTTTTTAAGTAATTCTTGGCAATTTTTGCCTAATGATGTATATTCTATTATAGGGGCTGCAGTAGGACCTCTACTGGCTGGGGTGGTATCTCAGTATGGTTGGGGAAAGGTGTTCTACATGCTTATGGCTTCAGACGTCATTGCATTACTAGTGAGTTATTTATACATATTTTGATAGTTTTAGGTTCTGAAGGTACGTAACGTATTGACAAACACATATCATGAGAATGATTAGAACTACTAGCTCATTCAACCTTAATTAATTAAAAACTAATGTCCCAAAAAAATTACCTGATAAAAAAAACCAGTCAACCTTACGATTCTCCCTGAATATTCTCTTTGATTTTTAACCATTGGAATATTTAATACAGATGCATTGCACAATGTCCAATGATATAAGTCAGTGTCATGACGTCCAAAATATAATTCTAGAGCTCTCTAATGACGTCCAGTATAAAATATTTGGGTGTTGCACGACGCCTAAATCTCATCATGTCCAAAAGTACAGTAACTGCAAGAAACATAGTCTTTCTACAAGCTTTGGACGTCATGGGATTGTTCGTCGTGCGACAGCGCACTTTATACTCTTAAAACTTAGAAGTAGCACCACGTCCAAAGCCACTGGACTAGGCTAGGTTAGGTTAGGCTTTGGACGTGAGGCTACTGCTAAGTTTTTAAGAGTATAAAGTGCTCTGTCGCACATTGACCAATCCCATGACACCCAAAGCTTGTAGAAAGACTATGTTTGGACGTAATGAGATTTTGGATGTTGTGCAACAGTCGAATAGTTTATATTGGGCGTCCGTCGTGAGACAGATAAAAAATTATATTTTGGACATCATGACACTGACTTATATTTTTATACGTCGTGACATACTTCCACATGAAGTTGGTCGGGTGTTACAGTTTACCCATTGTTTCAGTTGCTGACGCGGTTAGTGAAGAGAGAAATCATGCCAATGGTCCAGTCGTCACATACCAACACATGGCAAGCGTGATGTCACAGAAGCTCTGTCTGATTTTATATTCTAACTGAACGTCCCCTGTTCTGAGCCCAAATAAGACTGACTACACATCTTTATACACGCACAAAGTCTTTGAGAAAATCCAGAACTGTGGTTTTTCTAAGTCACGTTAACAACATTTTACAATGTTTATTATTCTAAACATTACCAAGGCCATATGAAAGTTACCTGGTTGGAAGATATGTGATCGCCATATAATAATGATTAAACTTAAAGTAACACTTTTAATTTAAAGGCATTTTTCAACAAAAAAATGTACATTATCAGGTTTATAACTTAACTAGCTTTCTATTTACATAACCAGATTTTTAATTATCATGGATTAAAGTAATGTTATACTTGTAATACGCATATCAATATATTAGTACCTTTCAGCCTCTGCAGGGTGAATATTAATTTATTATTTAAGAAGGGATAGTCTACATATCATTTTTATTTTTTGATATTTTCCCTTTAAGTATTGATTTTCTTTTTATTATTATTTATTATAATTTTTGTCTTTCAGTTTTCCATTTCATTATGTTATAGGTGTAGAGTGTTTTTACTCTAATTGAAAGGTTTAATATTGCAACATTATTACTGTATTGATTATTGATGTCTTCCATTTATCAAGTTGTTTATATGATTAAAGTAGAGCACTAAAATAATACAACATAAATTTTGTGACGAGGAATAAAATAATAAACAAAATTTTTACCCTAGAAATATTTTAACATGGACAATTTTGTAAATTTATACTGATTTTTTGTTAAAGCCATCATTTTTTAAGTATATTTTTTCTGAAAATTATTTTATGGTGCTATATCTATAAAGGCCAGTTAAATTGTTATGGATAATATAAAGAGTAAAAATTACCATGCATGTTTTTCATTAGCCTATGATCAATGGAAGTTTGCCATTTTACCCAAGATGGCTTTTAAAGTAAGGTCAATTCTAAAACAAGATTCTTTCAATATGTTTTGGCACTCAATGTTTTGTAATTAAGTACTCTTTTGATTGGCTTTTATGATTTTGTTTTCAGCCTAATTTACAGTATACCAAGCTAAATTGAACAGTCATAGATTTTTGATTTGTCGAATAAGGAGGATAGCAGCTAGCTTACCTTGATAAAGTGTAGGTAGGCCATAGAATATGCTATCCTCCTTATTCTACAATTCAAAATTCTATGACTGTCTAAGAACCCTTCCATGAACAAAACTAGCCATAGATTTTTGATATTGTGTTAAATTTGGAGTACCAAACTCCACTTAAAGTATTTCATCTATAAAAATACTTGTTTATGTCATATCTAATAACTTATTGAGTTCAGTATATTGGAAAATGTCCCCTGTTTTGACCTAAACTTGCATTGGACCCATCATTCTTTGGACCCAGTGCAATACATCCATTTTTCTATCTCTAGTTTACAGTGAATCTCTTAGTTGTGGTTGAGGAACTTTAGTCAATTAGTTAAACATAATTGATACATAAAAATAAACATTTATTTGTTGTGGCTAAAGATACAAAAAGTGCCCTATCAAGTTTCCTCTAATACACAGCAGAACTACCCTTTGGCAAAGAATATTTTAAAATCTATTGTACCCCAACAATTTTTAGACAACAACCTTAAGATAAACTCAATCTTAAAGTTGAGTCAACTTTAATTGTTAAAATCAAAAGACATCCAATTAGTTATTCTAAACAAAACTATACAACATTTACGTTTTCATTGGTTAACTTAAGGAAACTTTTTACGGATACAAGCTAAAAAAGGTACATAGCAACTATATAGTAATCGACCTTTTCATTTAAATGTACCAATGACCGTTAAAAAAACTGTGTCAGAAGTTGTTGCTATTTGGAATGTAATATTTAACTTCAAACTCAAATTTTGAAAGATAGGGTTGATGCAGAATTTTTGTTTCCCCAAGATAAAGAATCTGTTAAGGTGGTCAATGTGTAATGTTGTTGCTGGTATGTTTGGTTGAGGAAATATGTTTTGAGCTATTTACTGTCATTCACTTTTTAAAATGTTTACTAACGCCAATAATGTTATAAAATTCCAAGACTAGGGTTAGCACTGTTTCATTACAAAAAGACATACAATCATTCCACTATTATAAGATACAAACCTTCACGTCCACGTCCACAACAAAGCAATGGCCAAACTCACTACATGTTTTGCCTATTAAGGCATTGTCAAGTGGTCTTTCAAGAATGTTTCATCCATTAGTAGACTCATCAAGAACATCTATGTACGTATTAATAGGCAAGCAAGTTTCTTTAAAACCTTTTTTCTCAGCTTGTGTGCATCGCAGGGAAAATCTACGCATACTGTTAGAAAGATCTTTTCCTGTAGATGTGCAGTATCCCTTATAAATTAAATAGGCTAAAAATAAGCAAAAAAATTAATTTGAAAAAAATTTACATTGGCCTTATGGGATGCCGCTGGTGACGAAATAACAAAGAAAAATAAACAGAAAATCAAAACAAATGAAAGAAATTCCAATCGCATGTTTTATTTACAGCGTGGGGGGAAAAAAGAGAAGTCTTTACATATTTTTGGTCGAGTTTTCAACCACTGGACGACCTCTAGTTCAAATAAATACACATATAGAACGACACAACGCATGAAAAAAACATTTAAGTTGCCTTCTATTAACCGGTAGCGGTTTTCGTGTGTCATCCTATATGTGTAATTATTTGAATGTTCTTGACAAGTCTGCTAATTGAGGAAACATTCTTGAAAGATCACTTGACAGAACTTTAATAGACGAAACATGTAGTGAGTTTGACCATTGCTTTGTTGAACTGTGGACGTAAAGGTACGTACCTCATAATGGTCTAATTTAACAGTTCAGGGGCTAAATGATGAATTTTTAATACAACAATTCTAATTGTGTTGAAAACATAAAATAGTTTGTCGGAGTTTTAAGGCAATGTAGGAGATTGGAAGATTGAATATGAAAACCAATTGTATATTACCGCTGATGATACAAGGTATTGTCGAAACTGTTTGCGTTCCCTGAGACTAACTTCTATGAATATCTGTGGTTGTAACTTTGTCTTATTACAAGGGATTGGAAATAGGTGATTGTTGTCCTAAAAGTTAGGCTTCAGCAGAGATGCTAGAAGGTGGTGTTTTGACTAGATGGTTTTTCCTAAATTGGACACAAGTAAATTAAGGATATGTATATGCTTTATGTTTCTAAAATATAGGTTGGGATTGAATTGATGTTTCCAAAATATGACATCAGCAAATGTAGGGTTGTTTTTTTCTGAATGAAGGTTTATTGAATCTAGACTGATGTTTACTGAAGACATAATTAAATGAGTAATTAAGGGTTTGTACGAGTTTTAAGATTACAAGAAAATTAAATAGAGACTTTTATGTCTTTTCCCAAGTAGAATAGCAATCAATGTTGGAAATTGTATGAGTGTTTCACGCCTTTTTGCCTCTGGAAGGTGAGGTTAGGATTAGATGGTTGCGTCCCCCAGACGGACATCTGTGAATGTGGTTGGTCGTGGAAGTTCTGTATCCAGCCCGTGGCTGTCCAAGTCAGACATTTGTCGACCATTGACAGTGCCAGCCTCGTCAGGAGATTCTTCGTCAGCAAGAGCTAAAAATACAACAAAATTCCATCATTTAAAAATCACTTAACAGTCAGAACGATCCAATTGTGATCCACATAAATTTTAATCTGGTTTCATTAGGATTAAACAAAAAAATCAAAGTGATATGTGGTGAAGAGATTATTCATTTGAAAAAATGTACTTTCATCGTGTGGCTATTTTAAATGACAGCTGGTTTTAACATAGGATATATTTTCCCAAGCTAACTCAGAGTAAGGGTGTAAGGGAGAATCAGTAAGAGGCGGATCAGTTGATTCCTTGCTTCTAATTATTTTCCATTTGCCCTGTGTTTCATGTATTTTTGCAATTTAAATTATATATTTTAATAAGACAGAGATTATCTACTTTGTGCAAAAATTATTGTTTACCAAAAGTGCTTTCTGGCACTTGTGTCATATTTCTCCCTCGGCTTTGCTTTCCACTTCAAATTTTGTAGTCATATGTTCAGCTTCATCTCACATATGAGCCTTGTTTGCACAGTGCAACTTTCTGTATGAGTAATGATTTATTGTGTTTTATCATTTCTACTCCTAATCCACCTACTCAATTTAAAATTGTAAAATAAAAAAGCTCACCATTCGTAAAGTGTGTTACGCTGGGTATTTATCTGAAATGAGCAGCCCAATCTTTGAAAATCAACCAGGAAACATGTTACTAACACAGGCCACAACAATCACCATGCAAATACCACAATATTTCCATGCAAATTAATAATTAAGTCATTGCATACACTAAGACTTCAATATCATGATTGAAAACATTTGTATAGTAACTCTTTCTTTGGAGCTTTAACTATTGAAATAATACTTCAAGTTCTAAGAAGGCAAACCACTTGACTTTCAATAGGTTATTGCACAACACCAACCAACAAAGTACCTCGAAACCTTGCTTGTCGGTCTGTTCTCATGTTGTATAATACTAACAATAGAGCTATGAGGACCAACAATACGGTCACCATCAAAACTACTCGGAACACATTCGTCTGGAAATTAACAAATATTGCAGACAAATAAATTATGGTAAGACCTAAAAACAGTTGGAGGTGTAAGGGTGGATTTCTTTGATTAAAAGCTATAAATACATAGTTTCTGTTGATGATAATGTCACACAGAGAATTAATAATTGATGCACTATTACTTTGCAGTCAATTTAAAAGTTAAATGCAGCCAATTTATTCTAATCTGTACTAGTTCAAATTTCCGAATGGTTTCATAACTTTTCCACCTTCATAGGCAGGGAAATTCCTTCTATGTACATACTTATCATAAAAATATACATTTTAAAGTAATTAACTGTTTCCTAGCATCCCAGGGGGATGGCCCACAAGGGGCAAGACAAAAATTCTTAAATGTAAGCATAGGTAGTGATGGACATCAAATTAAAGGCCTTAATTTGTAGAATACAAAGCCGCAAACCGGACCTCAAAAGGTTATTCCTAAACAAAAAACATTGCATCGCAACAAAGTGGCAGTAACCCATCCTGTGATAAAAACCATCAATGATATTTTGCAGCATCTCAGGCTATTACGAGCTTCTTCTGTGATCCGTTGAATGAGCTCCTGGGTGTTGGCATGCTTGGTTGGATAAACTCTGTTTCAAATATCCCCATGGAAAGAAATCCAAGGGGTTTAAATCGGGTGACCTAGGAGGCCACTCTATTGCCCCTCTACACCCTATCCAACGATTTCGAAACACTGTCCAGAAGTTCTTTTACCTGCAGAGCGAAATGAGGTGGTGTCCCATCCGGAACCATACAGTATTAAATCGCCGACCTAGCAAACCAAGTAATGTTGGTATGTTTGCAACAATAACTCATATGAATCCCCATTCAAATTTCCATTTATTATGAAAGGACCTACAATCTTTGTGCCAACTATACCAGCTCATGTGTTGACTTCTTGGGGCTTCTGAGTGTGGCTTTCACTCATCCAATGAGGATCCAGTATCGACAGTTGTGACGACTTACATGACCATGAAGTGTAAATGATGCTTCATCTGAAAACACTATGTTATCCAAAAAATGTTGTGTTTCCACACACCTACTCATAACGGTTTTGCAGAATTCAACTCTTCTATCAAAATCGTCCTCTAACATTACTGGACTGACTTACATCGTATTCAGTTGCTGCAGCACTTGTTGATTTTCTGAGGTCTTCAATAAAAGATTGCAGTACATCTAGTATGTGATTTTTTGTCATTGCTGTCTTGGGTCTTCCACTTCTGCCAAGGTCTTTAACACTGT